GTGTGTGTGTGTGTGTGTGTGTGTGTGTGTGTGTGTGTGTGTGTGTGAAGATTTACATGGCTGATGAGAGGTAGATATGTAAACCAAGTGCTGCCCCCGAGTGGCTCAAGGTGTCAGGCTAACCATCATATCACACCAGCCCACACCTTTCCTCTCATGCCATTCAGTTTGGATTTTTTTTTTTTTTGAAGGCAGCAGTAAGTAGTCGGAAGGCCAAATTCTCAAGCTGAACTCTCATAATGAAAGAACCGAGTGATTATTGATAGTCTCCAACTGTACGTAACATCCATTAATGTACCTGTGGAAATCTCATCTTTTACTGGTTTTACCAAATGGCCAGTAGTACAAAGTTGTGGTTGCATCCAAACAGCCGCTCATCACCAGTACAGTACATTATGGATTAAACTTTCTCCCCCTGTAATACATAAAATAATGTGTTCTTACTCATCTGATTAAATAGCATGAAAAGTAACCGTCTTTGAGTTGTGTCTCATCTGCTAGCTCCTTTTTTATAAAGGGTACAAAAACCTAAACAGCCTGGAATTGGCATAATAAGTATTTAAATACACAACAGGACGATCAAAGCTTAAGCACAAATCTCAACAAGCACTCAGTGTTGTATGATAGTCTTCGATACTTGCTGCTGCGGATACGTTCCAAAAAAGTGTTTAGCTTACATACCCTACTTCACACCCTTCCCCCTGTTCACTCTCTATATTCGCTTTTTTGTTGTCACGTCTTGGCTTTCACATGCTCCATCTCCCTCATGCTCACTCCTTTTGTATGTTAGTTTATCATGGGACAACAGGCCCGGTGTAGTAATTACAGGCCAAAGGTAGGTCCAGGGAATAATTACATATCATTTCACGGTCGGGCCTCTGAGACTAAAACAAGGCCTCCTGCAGGTTATTTGAGAGGACTAGACCTTTTTTTGTATTTTTCCAATTGTGACATTTAAATCCCCAGTGGTTGGAACCGGACTTCCCTGACTGGGATTTGGTGTAGCATAGTGAAGCTATTATGGAAATCAAGGTGGGACCACTCACTGCTGCTATTGTGGCTACTTTGTTCCCTTTTGAGACTTCATAAAAATTGTGTGACTTTCCGTGCTCTCTTTCTCTACTTTTCTTCTTCAGGTTACAACACAGTGGTGCGGATCCCAGCTGGAGCCACCAACATTGATATCAAACAGGTCAGCTACTCTGGAAAGCCAGAGGACGACAACTACCTCGGTGAGTGTGGTTTGTGTGCTGTGTGTGTGTGTGTGTTTGTGTCACCTTAACGATGTGGTTTTTAAGGAACACTGTATCGAATTGCAGGTTTTCTTGGGAGAATCAATCCAAAGTGGAAGCAGTCCAACCTAATAAGATGTATACATTACAGCCCTTCAGTTCTCATCTCATAGGTCAATGCCATTATCCCCTAACATGACCATAAACCACCCAGACTTGGTGACCCAGAGCTGTAGAGGCAGGCTTTTAGTGAAGGAGGGTAAGGAAACGTGGGCCAAACTGTTGTCAAACTGTTTTCATAAAGGAAAGGAAACTGTCATTTGTACTGAGTGTATATTGTGGAAACTAGGAGGGGCGTTGGTCCATCTGGTCATGGCAGAGAGGGTTGGTTGGGAAGGCAAATGGAGTGTCAGCCCCTGAGAAAGATAAATGAGGCAGCAATAGGTGCTAATTAGAGGCATGTGGAGCCCAGGCCGCATGAAAGTGGATACAGGGGTGTAGGGTTAGATGGACCCACCGGGCTCAGAGTGTGTGTGCGTGTGTGTGTGTGTGTTTCTGTCTGCGTACGTGCTTGCATGTGAGAGAGGGAGATAGACAGAGAGGGAGAAAAAAAAACGGAGAAAAGGAGTTTTAAGTTTATGTTGTAAGGGCGGGCGCCCATTTTCAGATGGTTCAAGTCAGGTTCAAGATGTTTTAAGTCAAATTGTCAGAAAACACATCTGGCAGGGCCTCGTTGCCATGCCGCTGTGAAAAGCTTCACTCCCGCTGCTGCCGAGTGCCACAACCACACAATGTGCGAGTGGTGCCTGTATTACAGATGGTCGGTATTTGCAACGCCCTGTCTTTTTCAATCGGGCTCGTACAGTATGAAGACATTTTTTTGAGAAGATCACTGCACTCATGACCAAAAAAACAAAAAGGAAACTTGTGCCTTTGAAGTCGTTGCTCCTTAACTTTGAAGCTCTCCCCTGTTGGACTTGGACCCTGTGGACACCTTTCAAAAAGCAGCTCAATGCTCACCTGTTCATTTTTTAATCTCTATAATATTTATCTCTCTTGCCTTTTGTTGCTACTAAATTGTGCCTCTTGTTCGTATCTTTTATTGTGAAGCACTTTGTGAAGTCTGCTCTAGAAAGCTGCTGTTGAGAAATTTTACTCACCTACTTACAAATGCTACGGTGCAAGAAGTCTCTGCACACTTTGGGTCTAAAGCAAGTATTAGATGACGAAGCTTTGTATTCGCTGGTTGGACCTTTCACAGGGAAAGTATAAAACGTATAAAAGTTCCGTAGAGCATTTGCTGTGGTCTCTAGAGTCACAGAACGGAAGGTTTTGAAGAGCTCAAGCTATTCTGGAAGCGCATGGTGGCTCAAAACCTTTTTAATACCCACTCCTTCCTCCATGCTGGTTCCTCCTTTTATCTTTGACCTGTATCAAAACGCACAGGTATTTAAAACAGCCTGTGTACTGGAAAACAAACTTCATCTTGTAATGTGCCACCAAGTCACATTAACTCATTTTATCTCCACTGTTCAAGCAATAAGCTTCAGAATGAGCGATTCCTTGGTCAGTACCAGGCTTGAACAAACTTTAAGATGTATTTTTTAAGTTGTAGCTGTGTGTCTGTGTACACATTTTCTAATCTAAGGCATTGTTTTTTTTAAACTTCTGCAAAATGTCAGTGATGACAACCATAATCTATAGATCATTTTCAAAACCCCACAGACCCCACAGTTATCTTCCGGCAAAAGATAACTAGCTGGCATCCAACAATGTGTAGACTTAAATGTAAACAAAGTTGCTTCTAGGGACTTACTCACATACATTGTTTCAGCATGCTCTTTCAGATCGTAATTAACTGCATGTTTCTTGGAACCATAATGTTCGAGGTAGAGAGAGAGAGAGAGTGAGAGAGAGAGGTGGTCAATGTTCATTTGGGGTTTATGTGCTAGTTTGCCAATTTTGAGTGTTTATCCATGTGTTCCTGTGTGTTATTTGTGTGTGTATGTTTATGTTGATTGTATTTGCAGTCAGTGGAGATCCTTTGTTTGCCTTACAATGTCAGTCATTACGAAAGAGTCACGCAGTCTAACTCCAAATAACTGCAATTTTGTGTCACCAGTGTTTCAACGTACCTCCCCTGCAACACAGGCTTTGCAGAACAATAGTTTTGCAGCTCAAGGACAGTTTACTTAACTTATAGCCTGAAATAATAAGTGCCACATCTCATAAACATTCCCAAATCTGCAAGAACCAAACATTCCTTCACTTGTGCCGAGTTCTTTTACATTTGGAGCTCTGCGTTTGTTTATGGTTTGTGTCCATTTCTTATTCCAGCATTATCTGACAGCCAGTCCAGCTCACTCCTGAATGGGAACTTTGTGGTGGCCATGTTCAAAAGGGAAATCACCTTCAAGGGAACCGTCATCGACTACAGCGGCTCGGACACAGAAGTGGAGCGCATAAACTGCACTGACCGCATCGAGGACGAGCTCATTCTGCAGGTTTTTAATAACTAAATCCTACTTTGTTTTACTGTATATTGCTCTGTTTTTCCTCCTTTCGTCTTGATCTCTACAGCTCTCCCTGTAAGAGTTTACTGTCTTCTAACCTCTTCAAATACTGAGCTCGATGTCTGCCTAAAAGGGTGATATCTCTGTGTGGACTTAGACAAAATAAGGACAGCACTGCTGACCTTGCCTTTCCCACCATTGTTTCCACAGGTCTTGTGTGTGGGAAACCTCCACAACCCAGATGTCCGTTACTCCTTTAATATACCCATCGAGGAACACAGGGAGCAGTTTGTGTGGGATCCCTCAGGCTCCTGGCTCGAGTGCAACCACATCTGTCAGGGTAAGACCTCAGCTTGGCTTCCAAATTTACACACATGAAGAATAAGATGTTTTCTCTTTGGCTTCAGTGGATCTTAAAAAAGCTTTGCATTTGCACAAAATATCTGGAAGATGTTCTGATACACACATGAGTACATATTTAATATACTTTTAGGCCCAAAGGTATTTCACAAATTGGAAAATGTGTTCTTGTGAATAAAGGGGTACAGGGGTGTGGGGTGTGTCGAGCTGTGTGCTCTAACTGACACGCAATTTTACAGCAACTTGTGACATAAACTATAAAAAATGACCCCCAAGAAAGTGTGAAATTTATATGAACCATAATGTGTCTTAGAGCTCTTATTACACAAAAGTGTATTACATAGACATGAATACAAGTGTCAGGGCACATTAGGATTAGCATTTCTCTTGCATCACTTAAACTCACCTCTGGATTTAAAAACGCACTCATTCATGCTTTCCTTCCATAATTCCCCCTCCTGGCAACCCCAATTTGACCCCGGCCAATCTCATCGCCCGACACCTTCCCTTTCGCCTGGCCCTTAACCCAACTAAGCCCCTCAAATTTCTCCTTTAAAAACCAGCTAGTCAGGCTCCCAGTGGGTCAGAGGGCACAGTGGGATACAGTATAGAGATGTATTTGTGGGGTGTACCTCCGACATGGACCCCTAAGTCTGCATGATGAAGGACTGGATGTCAAAAAGCTGGTCAGACTTGCTAAAGGTGAAGAAATGTGATATTTTGCCATCGAGCTGTCTGCCAGATGTTATCTGATTTGAACACATGCTTTTCCCCACGTGTCTGTGTGCATGCGTGTGTGCAGGTGAGCGAAGACGAAAGGTGGTATGTGTGCGTAAGAGCGATCACCTTGAGGTGTCGGACCAACGCTGTGAACATTTACCTCGTCCTGTTGCCGTTGCTGAGCCCTGCAACACTGACTGTGAAGTCAGGTGCGCATTAATGCACAAGAACACACACGTGCACCCCCAAAACTAATTTTAACAGAGCACACGCAGCCAAAACATTTTTCTACACCTCCTCTTCACAGGTGGCACGTCGCTGGAAAGAGCGAATGTTCTGCTAAGTGTGGCCCAGGCTACCGCAGTTTGGATGTTCAGTGTATGAAGTACAGCCTGATGAAGAGACAGAGTGAGCGGATGGAGGCCAGCACCTGTGGAGACGCCGCCAAACCTCAGACCAGAGAGACCTGCCATGGGGACTGTCTGCTTAAGAGCTGGCAGTACAGTGCCTGGTCACAGGTACAGTCAGTGGAAGAACTGTGTTAGATATGATGGCCAAACAGACTGAAAAGTGAGACCCTGGTCCAATTAGAGGCATATTTAGGAATTATTTATATATTATTTATATATTTCTAATGTCTGATAATGTATGTACCGTATATAATTGTTCATCAACTACATTTATAAGGAGAGATTCCATTCTCTGAAGTCAATAATATTCTGTGGAAGCTTCGGCGCGATGTGGCCCCTAATAAACTCATATATGAAGTATGTTCCAAACATCATTTTTGGACAGAAACAAATCTAAATTATTTCAAAGAATATTTCTGATTTGCACTTTCATTTCATTAACATTGCATCATTGGAGAAAGTATGCCATAGATGAACACGTGATTAAGTGGGCTAAACATGTTCAACGTATTCTTGTACACAGTGCTCGAAGACATGTGGACGTGGGAGCCGTAACAGAGAGTCTTACTGTATGAACAACCTGGGTAGACGGCTGGTGGACAGGGAGTGCAACGAATACCAGAGGGTGGTCACTGAAACCTGCAGCGACCAGCCGTGTCCGAGGTGGACCGTTAGCGAGTGGAGTGAGGTGAGGAACTCTCATGCACATACAATACACGCAACCACATATACAAAGCAGCAAGAAGGTTTGAATACGTCTTCATTAATCCTTGGAAATGGGCTGCGGAGCATTAATCGTCAAACTCAGCTCAAATAGAGTTCAACTGTAAATTCAGCATAATGTGATCTCTTCTTCTCTCATTTTAGAGGTTTTAGTTTGTTGTTGCGCAGTATTAAGGTATTATGATATTAAGACCAATTAGGATAGACACGGGGCTGTGCTGTCAACTATTTTTGTAACAGGGGGATGTCACACACTCACGCATACCTTTATATTAATGACTTCTTCTCTACTTCTTCCACCATCATCCCACACCCCCCTTCGCCACCCAGTGCCTGGTGACTTGTGGTAAGGGGATGAGACACAGACAGGTGTCCTGTAGCATGGGAGCCGGGGAGGAAAAGCTGAGCGAGCACCTCTGCAACCCATCCAGCAAACCTCCTGCTGTGGGGAGCTGCGAGCTGCCCGACTGTGCGTCCTGGCAGGTCGGCGTCTGGGGAGCGGTGAGTCCTGCGGACACACACAGGGATCAGACATAGACACCCCGGGGCGAGGTGACTCGATGCAGTGTGTCCCTGAGGAAATGGGCTTCATGTGTAGCTTGCTGTCTAGGATCCAGACTCGTATCTGTTAGTCTGTGTGTGTGTAACCTGATATACCGGCAAGTTACGGAGGAGTGTGCTCTGACTCCAGCTGCTATTTCCTCCACGGTGCTTTCACTTTACCCCTCATATCCTGTCAGACTAAACCTGACCCACAGTGCACACACACACACACACACACACACACACACACACACACACACACACCTTCATATGCATTCAATCTTCTAGGTTTCCAAATATTTCTGTATAGAGTCAGCCCTGTTAGGGTAAAGCACAAATTGAATGGAACATGTATGAATGGCCATTCATGGTCTAGTTTATACATTCAGGTCTAATGCCCCCCCACCTGTTTGTATGAAGTCAGATAGTGATATTTACAGAGCTGGAATAGATCAGGTCGTTAATGCCTGTGTAATTACAATTTGCTGCTCAAATAAACCGATCCTGTGGCACTTCCTCTGCTCTCATGTTGTACCTGAATGTGGCCCGATCGCCTTGTATGTGAGTTAAGAATCGGGGTAAAGGGTTGATTTAAGACTATATGTGCGTATGTGGACGCATGTGCTCATTAACGTGTGTGTGTGACTGTTTGTGTGTGTATGCATGTCGGTCTTACCCAGGCTCTGCTGAGCTGAATCTTGAAAGAGGCCCCGTCTAAGATATCAACCTTGACATACTTAGATAGAGTTTGAGATAGCTTGCGGTTGACTGGGCTTCTCTCTTCTTCTGTTTATATTTGTGCGTATGCGTGTTTGTCTTTCAGTGTGCGGTGACCTGTGGCCACGGCTACCAGATGAGAGCCGTTAGGTGCGTGTCAGGGGTCTACGGTGACACAGTAGACGACAGAGAGTGCAATGCTGCAGCAAGGCCTAGAGACAGTCAGGTAAAAAAACAAAAACTGTTACTAACTGCTCATACTCTCTCCAAACTCAAAGATTGAAGGTTGCTGTTTACAATAAGAAGGATCCTCTTTGACATAAAGAACTGCGACCAGTAATGCAGTATTTAAATCAGTGTTGACCAAGGAGTTTAGGCTAACGTTTTAGTCTCCACTAACTCCTGCGAGGGAAATATCTGGCTACAAAGAACTCTGCTCTGGAAAGGTAGCGCGCCGCAGAACTTTTCAGTGAACAGCTGCCTGCTGCGGCCGGGGAAGGATGAGAGCCGTAGAACTAAACCGTATGGTAAAGAGAGACTAAAATGTTTCGAGCCGAGCAGAACTGTAAAGTGATTCAACCACATGCATTCAGTTATTGTCATATTTCATGTCAAGCACTTGTCAATCTTATGTCGACTGGTTGAAGGCCGATCCACTCACCTGCAAAGTATCCTTGAAATTCACTCTTTGACGACACGACCGATCACTACAAACTTTAAAAGTTGCTTAACATCAGCAGCTTCTTTAAATGCCTGCTTGTTCTGCTTTGCTTTGACCCAAAGTCCAAATGTGCGTCAAGGTGGACACTGAGCATGAGGCTGCGGCACACTTTACCTGAGTGGTTTAAGTGTGTTACATAAGGGCTCTTAGGCTGATGGTCACAATGAGGTAGGCGGAAGATGTTAAACTGATGACCTTTCAGGCTCCAGATAAGTGATATCTGTCTCAGCTGTTGGAATGGAGGTCACCGCAATATTCACAGACATTGTATAGGCCGGGTCTACACATTTTGAGAAATGGAACGAAACAATAACATTTATTTTTTTATGTTTTTTTGTACACCTGGTTCTTTGAATCTAAGGGAGTCTCTGAAATATGTTTAGAAATATTTTTGGTATATTTACTCCCGTTGCGTCAATGTACTGATGCATGACTCAAGTAATCATTTGACTGTATTTGCATGTTTTTTTGTTGTAGGACTGTGAGATGCAGGCGTGTCCCTGGGCCTCTCCGGTACAAAGCACACCTCGTCCTGACGACTCCGCTCAACTCCTGACCCAGTGGAGATATGGCTCCTGGACTGCGGTAAGGAAACAAATTGGGTTTATTGGGTCTAACAGAGCATATAGGTCTGTGGGTTTACCTTATACAGTCCAAAGAATATAAAAAAGCGACGCATTTTTTGTTGAATGGTAAACAAATTCCTCTACTGTTTCGTTCATCTTTCTGTGTGTAGCTTGAGAGAAATGATCTGCTGGGCTTTGGAATCTGACTTAGCTCTCAAACTCCTGCATATACTAGATCGACAAATTAAACTTTATTGTTATCCAAACATTCCTTCAGATAGCACATACTGTACAGGACCATGATCCTCTTTAGCATTGTCTCTTTTACCCCCTGCTGCATCTACACACACACACACAAACACACGCACACGGGCACACACACACACACACACAGGCTCCACTGTCTGGGCTGAGAGGCCCCTCTGTCTCTCTGATACTTTGCATTGTTACTCGTCGCAAATGAAAACCAGATTTCATCTAAACACGAGTCTACGGTTTCTAAGATTGAACCCCGTCTGTCAATCTGAAAGTCGGTGTGAGCTCACATGTCAAAGAGGCCAGCGCCAGTGTGGTCTTACAGACACACACACACACACACATACACACACCACGTGCACACACCACGTGCACACATACACATCCATACAATCCCCCCGAGCAGCGGAACTGCCATCCTCTTTAGAGAGTCATTGATATCAGAGGGATATTAACGTGCCTGTTTGAGCTGGAGCCATTTGATTGCATTAGGTATTCATCCCCTCAGAAGTGTTTACTGTGATGTCCCTTTGAGATGGCAGGGGTACAGCTACAATAGAGTGTGAGCAGCTAAAAGTTGATCAGGGAGTCACTTCAGGACACCAGCAGCAGCAGATAAAATCATAAACGCCTTTATTTGTGACGCAAGGTAAAGAATCCACAAACATGTCGCCTTATCTGTTACGGAGGAAGACATGTCTGTTACTTATTGCAACATGAACCCTGATGTCAGGAAGTATAACTAGCATCAAACAAACCACCTTGAAGGATATCCTAATACAAGATATTACAACTTTCTTGAATTGTGCTTTTTGCATTATGGTGGGAAATATTTTCAACCCACAGAAAGTGATCAAGCATTTTCTCACTGCACCGAAACGTATGAATCAAAGCATTAGGAAGGCAGATATATATATTTATTATTCATTTATTTACTTTTAGAAGAAACAAAGGGCCATTTGGTAACTTCAAATTGAACATAATTGCAGCTTTACAATGCCACTTTGTGCTATACGATATCTGGGTAATTGTCTGTCTACTACAGGTACAATAGACCCATAGATACAGGACATGTATTGTACACAATATAGTATTATCTCATTACCATTGTGGGCTGCCAGTTTGCAAACATTGTCTGGCACAATTTACATTTCACTCACAAAGAGTCAATTTTGTGGTGCATCTTCCAAACAGTCGCACTCTACCTCATGATAATTACGAGTCTTGAAAAGTAGACAGTTAATAGCATCACTTTAACAACCACGCGATACAGATATTGATCTCAGCTCTGCTTGTATCTGCGTCTCCTCCAGTGCTCGGTGTCCTGTGGCAAGGGAAAGCGGGCGCGTTACGTCAGCTGCAGAGATGCCCAGGGAGGAGTCGCTGACGAGTCACACTGCACCCACCTGCCCCGGCCCCCGGAGTCCTCGGCCTGCTTCAGCCCCTGTGGCCAATGGCGTGCCGGGGAGTGGTCTCCTGTGAGTAAAAAGAACATCCAACACTGTGTCCAATCAATACAGACGTTTTCCACTGCAGAGACTTTCAGTACTCAACCACAATGTTCAAATCATCCTGAAACAAAATGGGCTCTAAGTACTGCTGTGATCTTGGACCGTTTAGTTTTAAAATATTAAATTATTTTTCATTATTTCAACATTTGTAACACCTTTGGTTCTCTGTCCCCAGTGTTCAATGACTTGTGGCGTTGGAAGAACCACCAGGCAGGTGGTCTGCTCTAACTACCACCAGCCAGTGGACCAGTCTTTCTGTGACCCGGATGAGAAGCCTACGACGGAACAAGAGTGCACCGCTGCCCCCTGCCCCTCTATCTACCACCGCCAGCGTATCAACGATCAGCCCTACGGATATCCCCAGGACCCCGGACGCCATCCTGGCCACAGCAGCTGGAATGTGCCCTCAGCAGACAACCAGTGGAGGACCGGACCCTGGGGCGCAGTATGTTCAGCACATGATCTTTGGGGAAAGAGGGCTGTGCAGAAACATTTTGTCTGGCGGTAGAATCATTTTAGTTTTGTTGTCAAGTAAAGGGAACCAATTAAGGTCTTCTCATGGATAAATATTCTTCATTGCCACACGCAATTTAAGTTTTATGAAAAAAAACAAGAACACCTTGTACATGGACAGCATGTACAAGGTGTTGACGGCCTGTGTGTGTGTCTCTGTCTGTAAACACATTCTTGTGAACACATTCACTTGAATGTAGCAGATGTTTCCATTTACAAGGGCAGAGGGACATACATGGTCAAGGACTTTACAAACAGCACCAAGAGATGTATATGTATACGGTGTGTCAGTGTATGAATAGATGTTCAGGACTCCATTGCTGTGTAACGAAAAAACTAGGTTACCTCAAGGTAGAGCCTTGATTTTTTGGGCTGAAATTGATAAGGCACTAACAAACCCAAATGGTTTGGGGCAGTTCAGGCTCTTTTAATGTCCTTGGTCTTGAATCAAATTGTCAAAAAAGCAGGCACAATGGTTGTTTTGCATTTAACTGTGTCTGGTATTTTCATGCCAAAAATAGGTGCATTGGTGCAGTTGGGGTTGTGTCTCCTGTGTGTAGTTTTGTTTGCATAATGTTACATTGCCCTTGTGTACCCAGACCACACCTTATCGCAGAGAGCTATTTGGGTATTTACATGGGAGGTAGCACATGAGTTTAGGTACTTTGTGATTCTTGCTAGTAATCTCATCCACAATCACTTGTTAATCACTTTTAGTTGATTAAATCTCTGTAGACAATATATGGAATGTGCTCTTTCATCCTGAGTTTGTGCTTATGTTTGCATTAGTTTGTGCTTTCACTTGAGGGCATGCAGCTTCATGAAAATAGAGCGAAGCATGTTGTATTAAAGAGAAAGTTTGCTCCATGCCAGAGGATAATTGACAACATTTTGCACCTAGTGTTGCCATTTTTATTTTTTCACCTAATAAGTAAAAGTCAGTTATTAGATGTCTATTACTCCATCAAAAGACCTGAATATTTTACTGTGAAACTAGATACATTTTATGTTTGTTTGGAGGACATGTTTTTTGTGTGGTTTGATCTTGTTTTTCTGAAAGCCATGAGAAGATCACTGCTCTATTTTCTAAACCCCCAGCAGCAGAGGCGTTCATCGCAGTACACTGTTCAGTCTCACATAATGAACTTGACTGGAAGCACTGCTGTTCAGGCTCACTCTGTGCTGTCCTCCCTCACATACTATAGAGAGCATTGACTGTGCTCACTCCCATTGACAGTGGGGATGTGTCATGTTAATTGGATGCAGAGTGTACCTACTGCTCTGTTCAAGGATGTGTTGTTCAATGTCCTTGGTGGACTGATGTTTTCCATCTTTGGAAGATCATTTTGAACAGCGCAGCTGAGTTTGGCCTTGGTACAAACTAGTTTGTTATGTGTATTATATGTGTTTGTGTAACTTCCGACTGTCCCTAACCGTCGGATACAGTCAGAAGTTCCAGAAAAAAATTAAGTAAATGAAGCTTGAGTGTCAACTTTTTAACACAGCTAAGAAATAATAATTGGCACATGGCAAAACAAAAAATAGATAAGTCCATCTGTGTTTTATTACTCGTAATAGGCCTTTTATGCATAAAGTATGTGTTGTACCTCTGTGTGTGCATGTCTCATCATCCTCATTGATGCTCTGTGTGCTCTACAGTGTTCCAGTACCTGTGCAGGAGGTTTCCAGAGGCGAGTGGTGGTGTGCCAGGATGCTGATGGACGCAGCAACAGCTACTGTGATGAGAGGGTCAAACCTGCCGAGTCCAAGGGTTGCGACTCTGGACCCTGTCCTCTGTGGAACTTTGGTGTCTGGGGAGAGGTGAGTTTATACTGACAGTTGGAAACACAGTTGTTGTCATACTCTTCCACTCACTCATTGTGAACTTCATTACATTTCCCACACACGTTTTGTGTTTCATCCTTGTCTGTCTCTCTCTCTCTCTTATCTTCTACAAAAAACAGGGATTTGTTCAATCTCAGTCTGAAACTGTTGTTACAACGTCAGTGCTGAAACTGTTCAGAAAAGCCCCCCTGAATCACATTATAAGACACATTATTACATAGTTATTGTATATATACATTATTTAACATCTTTTTTGTTTGCTACCCTTAGTGCACACAGACCTGCGGTGGTGGAAGGAGGACTCGTCTGGTGGTTTGTCAAAGGCCCAACGGCCAGAGGCTAAACAACTACAACTGCGACATCCTGGACAAGCCGCCCGACATGGAGCAATGCAACCTGCAGCCCTGCCCAGGCTCTGCCTCCTGGCACCGCCGACCATGGAAGCCGGTACGATAGTACTAACTCGTTTTCCTCCCTCACTTACCTTCCTCATTGAGGGTGCGTCACTGTAAGTAGATATGGCGTGTGCTAAAATGACTCCAGACGTGTGTGCTGAGTGTGTTTTTAGCCTAGAACTGTAGGAGATCCTGAAGTGGGTGCTGGGTATCGAGCGCCACTGTTGGTTAGCCAGCTCCAGCCCACCCAGATGGGCCCTGCAGTGGCATGGTGCTGATTAGAATCAAGGGAAAAAAATGCACAAAAACACAATGCTGCTCCACTTAGGAGATCATAAAAAACACGTGGAGGCCATTTTGAGCCAAGGCTCCAAATTAAGACCTATAAATCAGGACAGTGTTGTCCAACAATGCCATATATTTGTAGAGGCGTCACTCTAGAAAATATTTATTTCATATATGAGGCGTGAATTAAATGTTCTTTGTTGTTGTTGCTGTCTTCTTCCTGTATCCGAAGTACACAAGTGTATATTTGTGTATAAGAGTTAATATTATGACCTTTATGGAACAGCAGCAAATGACTGTCGGTGTATTTTGTATGTGTATCTTTGTACAGTATGATTTTATTGAATTACTGAATATTTTATTTAATATTTTTGCTGGTGCTCTTGGTCAGACCTCTCGTATCTCTCTATGAGTAAATACAGTTTGTACAGAGGAAAATATTTTCAAAACATGTTTCATTTGTATTTTTGATAATGTGTTTTTTACTTAAGTTGAAATGCAGTTTAGAATGGCTTCATCTCTGTCAGGTTAAACTATTTGAAATAATCTCAAGTATCACAAAAGCAAATAAACTATTAAACAAACAAATATCACAAAAATTAAGTTTAAAATGCAGAGTGCTTGAAAAATAAGCATTATAGGAAAGCATTTTTCTTATAGATATTCATTATTTTAATTATTAATAAAGTAGATTGCATAATATATGATGTAGTCTTTATCACATAGGAAAACAGCCATAAATATTTATAAACTAAAAAAAACAATGGTTTGTCAGAATAAATCATGTGTTGATCACAACGGTGGGAGTTTTGGATTTAATCCCAACGTCATATCTGAAAGGAAGTCCGTTTGAGGTTTAATCCAGTTGTTCAGAACAAAAACAAATACAGCAACTTTAAAATTCAATTTTGAGTCAAACTGTTATTCATTATAAAAAGGTGCTATTAAACTTTATATAACATTTTATAGTGGCGCATTATCAGTATCATGAAAATAGAGTTTTATCATATTTCCAGGCTAAGAATGAATGAATTTATTCTGTCAATGGTAGGCAGCATCAGTGCAGCTTATTGAATACAATACAATGCAGTGCAGTACATCACGGGTTATCATTGAACGGTTCTTTGTCAGCTTTCATCATGGTCCATCAAACAAACTAAAGCACACAGATACCTCCTCCTTTTAAAGTTAGAGTCATTTGTTGCTGTGTCTCTTTATTCCTTTGGCCAGTTTTTGTATTTCTGAAGGATTTATTTCAACTGAAACTTATTTATTTGTTTACAATAAGTTATCCATTGTTTTAGCTTTAATGTTTTGTTCCAGTTTAGATTGATGTAACACTTTACTTGAATTATTTGTCTTTACACACACATGTCACCAGAACACTACTTGTTGGGGCTTTTTACAGTCAGCAACGGCTATAGCAGGTGAACACTTTTGGTTCTTGGGAGTTTACAGGATCACAACATCATATACATCTAAATCTCTCTCTGGCCATAAGGCTTTCACGTTGCTGCAATGATGTAGAGGTGTACTCCAGGGTGTGTCAGTACACAATGACATCACTGATAGGCGTGGTTATAGCTGCAACGAGGCAGTGAAGCATTACTGTTCGGCTGGGTATTAAGTTACATGTTAAGGTCAGTTCAGAGTTTAACTTATAACTCTATCTCGGCAAATGTACAACTCTCACTCAATGTAGGAGCTGCAGTACTTTTGTCATATAAAGTCTGAGTATGTGTTGAACTCTAAGTCAGGCACTCTCTGTCACTGCAGTGGTAGTTCAGGTTCTTACAAACACAACATGTTAGCACCTTGAATTATATTTTGGTTAAAGCAACATGACATTATCATGACACATATTTCAGGTGAAGTGTTGCAGCTTGGGTTTGTATTTATGTCCGCGTCCTCTCAGTTAGGATGTGTGCCGTCTCCTTCTTTGTTCCTTCGCTTCTCTCGCTGTGTGTCATTCTCAACCAAGACTTCCACTGCAACCAAGACTCCTCAGCCATGGAAGTTTCACTCCCACTCCTTCATATTTTTAACCCTGTGGTGCAAAATTGCGTAACTCAAAGAGGCAATTCTACTTTATTTTTCATATTTTGGTTGGTTGTTGTTCTTGTTGCTATTTATTTCATTCACATGCAAAAATACATAAACATGTTGAATTAGCTTTTTTGCCCCATTGTAAAGATTATTAAAGAAACATAACTGTGACATTTGTGTTGTTTCTAAATGCAATATTTAGCTGGCAAACAAAACACAGGTCTGTGCTTTTAACAACTTCAGCTCTAGCTCAGGACTCTAAAGGAAGAGCTGAATGTACGCGAGGTTATGAACACATGTAAATCCTACAGACGTCTCTCTAGGGAACAAGATGGGGAAACAAAATAAGACACGGCTCACTGCAAAAGAGTAACACTTGGAATATAGTTTATTGCTTTCACAGGGGAACAGTTGTTGACACAGCAGGTATTTTTCACATACAGTAGTTTCATAGTGCTCTAATGTGCTCTGGTAAACCATGGGCATGCAGTATATACAGCAAGTTTTTGCAGTATATAGTGTGTAGGTGAGTTACTACAAACAGCTCATAGAAAAGACTTGACTTGTAGGTCATTATGTGATATTTGACCCTCAATTGACTTCATTTTGTTTAGCCCCCTTTTTCTTTAACCCTTCTATAATAATTCAGTCTTTGTGGGCGTACTTCAAATCTGTTTTTATAGTATCTGTAGTACTTACATACCTCTGCATAATGTAGTGTAAAAATGCTGCAGGCCTTTTCCTTTGATGTGTTTTAACTTTTTATTTTATAATGTCCTTGGAGAAAACAGACAGTACACAGTCCAAATCAAACTTTGGCGCTGGGTGGCACATCTGTTTATCATTGCATTAATGGTGCACTCTGTCATGCATTTTGCGGGAGACCTGCAGAGTATTACTTTTACTATGACAATAATTGGTATTAATGCATACTGGCAAGGTTTGTTTAGTTGAGGAGATCCAACAGCAAGCCCTGGAAAGCCAGGATTTACAGAAAACTGCTGATTTAATCGTGTATATTATATTGTCCTGAGGTTATTCTTTGAAGTAAAGAACATTTGTGAGAAGTTATATCAGTCAGTATTTTCGAATAATGTAGCAATTCAAGTAAATACTTTACCATCGGCTTCAAGCAACTCAAAGTAGACCACATCAGATTATAGCTACATATAACTGTACAACAATGAAGCCTACATCGATTAAAATAAAATGGTTAGAGGATAACAGCGGTTATAAAGTTACCTTTACACACGTGTCCTCTATCAGATATTACAGCAAGCCCCTGCACCATTTATTTTTAAATCATTTTAATAAATCGCAATGTTTAGGAGCTGATGCTCTTTCAGAGGCCAGAGGGTGATAAAATGCTCCGGAAGTTCTTGTATTACATAACTTTCTCAAAATATTTGTCATGACTTCAGATTGCATCTTACCTTATGTAATGGCCTCTTCAGTTAGTACCCTAAAAAATATTTTTTTATGCTAAAAAGAAAACACCTTGTTTTACACCAGTAACATCAATCACACCAGTCTGCAGTAGGAGCTCATCAGTGAAATCCTGTGGGGTTTTTTTTTTGTCAATTTATTTCAATAAATTCTCAAATACATTTTGACAAATTCTATAGTCTCCCAAAATATTATTGCATACTGTTTAATCACCTCTTGGGAAAGTAGTTAACTATCCCACAAATGCCATTACTTGTAAAGTGTTTCAGCTGAACGTTTGCATTTTATCTCATGTTTCAGAGGTAGGCTACATTCTTGTTAATAAGAAAATGGCTTTAATAATGATGGTATACTACCATCTTACAATACAATCATACGTCTTACAATATTCACAAATTTGCATTCCTGTTAACATTTGATCATCAAGTGCAATATGTTAAAATGGCATTCAATAATAGAAGGACAATAATGTCCCAAAAACTATTTTTCAAATGTTATTAAATCAATGCTTCAGTTTATCCCTCCAAAATATTCTGCCGCCATTTTTCTCCCCGGACCTTTAATCATTTCTAATACTCTTTCAGTGGCACCTCCAAAATGTATGAATACAGATCATCAAAACACATTTGTCATGTATAAAGAAGAAAAGACACAAAACAATTATCACATTTATTGCAGAAATGTATAGTTTCAGATGCAGTTCAGCACAAACGATCAGGAATGTATATATCATTAACTAATGACGCACCTTAAAAGCAACGTCAACGGTCTAATGTGTGCAATCAGCAACAATAAGAACGTGTGTTATATATTGGCAACCAAGGCCCCATTTTAGTAATTTATGCCTGTTTGTTGCTAACAAAAACATACCGTTTCCTGTCGAGAGTGGCTTTCCCATGCAGGGGGATCGCAGTTGAGCATCTGTGACCTAATCACGCTGCTTCAAATGAAATCCACATGCACAACATTGACATGCTTGACTTTAGCCTGAGGGCAGTGGGCAAGAACACTCTGCAAACCTGTCACCCTGGGGTCAGTTGGTCGTGACATCATTGGTCTTGTGTTTCCTGATCCTGCACATATGCCAGTCGAGTGTGAGCAATTGAAGCGGTGGCTGGAAGGTCCCCTGTGGTCCACACGAGCATGGCTCTTGTCATGGCTTTGATTTAAATCTGAGTCGAGATATTGTTTCAATTCGGCCTTTGAGAGAAAGCAAAATAGTTCAGTTGATGATCTGCTGGTTAAATGTCAAGCACTATGGCCTACAGATTTTGG